TGCTTTTGCTAAACCCAAAACCCCAAACCCAAAACCCAAAACCATGCAAAACCCAAAACCCAACTCCCTAAACCCCAAAACCCAAAACCCAAAACCCCAAACCCCAAACCCCAAACCCCTAGCCCAAAACCCTAAACCCTAAACCCTAAACCCCTAAACCCTAAACCCTAAACCCTAAACCCCAAACCCCTAGCCACCTCAGGTTGCGGCTGCCCCTGCCTCGGGCCCTCGGCCGGGAGTCCAGCAGACAGAGGCCACCACTTCGTCCACCCTTCGGTCCCGCGCGTGAAGCTGTGCTCCCACCATCGCCAGGTCCTTGAGGGGTGTGAGGATATATATATATATATATATATATTTCTACATATATATATATATATATATATATATATAGTATATTCTTAAGTAGCATTTGGCGTGGGGTTGAGCTTTGCAGGCGGGTTGGCATTTGGTTTCAAGGAGCTTGATCCCCCACACCCGGAGTGTCACCGTACAACCTGTGCAGAAAGTCGGACTTGTGTAGGATGGAGATCTGTTCCTGTCGCAGCGTCGCAGCATCTGAGATGAAGGCCCAGGTAAAGTAGCTGAAAAAAGGCGATGGAGGTCCTGGTGGCCCCTGCCCGGCTTTGGGCCCGCTTGACAGCAAGGGCTGAGCAAGCCCTCAGTCGTGGCTTTCAGTATGTGGGCAAGCTGTGCGCAAGACATCCTTTGAAATGCCTCTTCGTGTCCATTTTATTCTGCCTGGCGTTCGGCGCCGGATTTACCCAGTTTGAGAATGAGGATGGGACTCGAGCTCTGTGGGTAGACCAACACTCAGAGCAGATGAAGAATCTCGAGCCACTTGGAGTCGATTCCTTAGCGTTTTTTTGATTCGCTTCCTGTACATATCGGCTTTGCAACAACGCAGAGGTTTTGAGGTTTCACATGTTTCACCTTCAACGTCAGGTCTATCGAAGGCCTGTTTTCAGACCCCATTGGCAGCGAGGGTGGAGGCGAACGTCTTATTGTAACTGCCAAAAATGGTGGCAATATCTTGGACTATGACACATTCCTCGATGTCTGGAGAGTTGTTGATGACGTCCGTACTTTGGAGTTCAAGGGAGACGATGGTGGGCTAGAGAGCTATCCTTTCGTTTGTCACAGGGGAGGCACAGGCGACTGCATTATTGACGGCGTGCCGCGATACTTTGCAACGCGGCCGCTTACGCAAGAAGACATCCTGCGTGCCGTAAACCAGCCACAGTTTGCGGATGGCATGTAACTTGGTGATCAAGGCATAGAGTCCCTAGAGGGCAGGCAGCGAAGGATCTCAGGTACTTGCCCTTCTGTGCATGCTGAGGCCGACCTATGCCGAAGACAGCTTGGGAGGCAATTGCGAAGGGAGTGCTGAGAGATAAGCCGGCAAAGAGAGTGGAAGCTAAAGGGAAACTGACGGGGTCAATTTTTGAATCGGCGATGTAGAAGCAGGTGTGAGCCTGAGATGGCTTGTCCTAGAGCTGCGGTTGCACCTGACATGCCACGGCCAGGCATCCAAAAGAACAGCAGCGGCCAGATCGTGGGAGCTTCTGCGGTCCGAGTCATCTTCTATGCCTGGTCCGACGGATTTCATCAGGTGGCTTGGACACATGTTGGCCCGTGCTGTTTTTCGAGAGGGGTGTTTCTGGCATGGGATCGGGCATCATCTCGCATGCGCGAAGTTAGGGAGAGGTTCTTCCGGAAACAGCCCCCGTGAGAGGCGTGGATGGATCACTTCGTGGAGAACTTCAAAACGATCCAGCGCTACGAGCGGGTTTATGTTTTTCTGCAGTCCGCTGGTTCCTTCGAGGACGAGCTCAGTCGCACTGTAAGTGCAGATATCCCGCTCCCTGGACCGCAGGGTGTGATTCTCCGGTGAAGAGGGAATTCCATTGAGGAAGTGGAGGTTTCTCGTAGCTCATACCCACTTGCTCCCTGGGTTTGGGAGGATCTGCAACCTAAGGCCATCTTGCCTTAGGCTCCAAGGGTCAGGAGCTCGAGGCGTTGAGCTTTTTTGGTCGTGGTTTCGGGTTTCGGGTTTAGGGCATACGGTTTTTGTCAGATGCACAGCTTACAACTCTGACGAAGGCTGTTCGCCTCTGCCTTTGTGCTGATGCGACTTGGCTTGTACGAGCAGTCTTTTCAGTCCTCTCCTGCGGAAGTGCACAGTCAGCACGCTTTGAAACTCCAGTTCCGTTCAGAATTCAAGTTCTGCAGGGCAACTCCTGAATATGGTTGCCATTCACAGCATACACCTGCAAATACTTCTAGAAGCCGATGTATGTCGGAGCTGCAGAGGTAGCTCCTCAGTTAAGCACATGGAATGAGACCCGAACGTCCAAAAGGTCTACTTTCTGTGCTGTTTTCATTGGGAAGCCGTGCAGCTGGACTGCGAGCAGACGTCTCTTGGGACACTTGGGTGGCATATGGGGCGACACTCCGGGTCGCATAGAAGGACGTAGGAGGGCTTGTCGCTTGGAAGTGGATGAGTTTAAGAAAGAAGGGTAAAAGCTATGGTGCAGGGCACAACTCTGCCGAATGAAGAGCAACACACTGAGACACAAGGGTCTCGACAGCCCGCAACCCTGATACCTAAAGTAGTTGAATAGTTAGGGTTGCTTTTGTTTTTGCATTCCAAGTTTCATCAGGTGTGTCCGACCTCTTACTCGTACTTGTAGCCTGCGTCGGCGGCTTCGGCAGTACCCTGTTACTTGGTGTACCGTTCACCGTCCTGACGCAGATTCTGCCCTTCGTCTTGGTGGGCATTGGTATCGATGATGCCTTTGTTATTGTCAATGCCTTTGATAGAACGGACGACTCTCTGGACATTCCTGAGCGAGTCGGGCAAGCAATGGGGCGAGTGGGTGTGTCTATTACCCTCACATCGCTCACGGACATCGTTGCGTTTCTTCTTGGAGCCACTTGCGTCTTCCCGGCGGCTGCTTGGTTGAGTTGCTGGGAGGTAGATTCAGTGAATTTCAGTCTGTTCGAGTAACAGTAATCATCCGGTTCCCAACCAAGATACAGTTCTTCTGCTACTATGCGGCTGTCTCTTGCTGTTTCGTGTGGCTGGTGCATTGCACTGCCTTCTGCGCCATGCTGTCTCTGGACGCTGCGCGCGCTAAGAGGCAGCTCCTGGATCCGCTTGCAGCTTTTTTGCACTTTTCGCAGGGTCATGCAGGGTCTCTGATTTCATTAGCAGCATCTGGCAAGCTTCTGACCACACTGTAAGAGTCATAAATCTGCAAGTTTTGTTTACTGCAACCCCTGCCAAGCGCCGTTAAATCTGGCCCACAGCCCAAAAACTTTAACACTGCCAAGGGCACAGGCCCAGACGGCACTCACCCAACAGCTGTAAAGGCCTGTGAAGATCTCTGCAGGCCTTTCACATAGAAACTTCCTGCCACGGCCCCAGCCTAAATTCCCTTACGTGAAATGCAGCCTTGGCCATGCTGCTTTACAGCGGTGCGTGTTGGTTCGGAATTTGCAAACTTTACATTAGCATTTAAAGTCGAAATGACCTTGATCGCCGAGTTAACAAGCGACTGCTAAGCTGCCTTGCTGCTGAGTTCTGTGTGCCGGCAACGTCCTCCTGCCTTCCAGCCGAGCCGACGGACTCCGCGAAGACGGTGACACTCCTTTCAAGGCACGGGGAAAGACCGCGCAGACATAAGCACCTAGGTCATGGAACGTGGGGTTGAAAGGCAAAGCCAGCTGCCTAGCGGAGTCCTCCAACCGAGCGAAACATTCAGATATCCGGCGAATACCTCAAACCAGACTCCTGCGAGAATGGAGGTTGCTGGATGTGTTGGGGGTGGGGGGAGGCACTTGAAAGGTATGCGAGACTTGCTTGCCGAGATATATGGTTATCCGTGGCACACCGCGCAAGCGTAATCAGCATGGGTGAGGTTTGTTCATACCCAATCCGAAAATGCTGGCAATTGCTTTCAGATAGTCGTTTCGTGGTAGTCACGATGCTTTCCGTTTTTTCGACAGACATGTTGAATCCATGCCTTGACTTTAGAAAATGCCGAGAAGCGATTGCCTCGCGGAGCCGTTCGGAGCCCACTGTGTTTACCAAGTCTACTACAGAGTGATGCGAAATTCATTCAGGATGCTCGGGGGCATTGTCCGCTTCTGTGCATCTTGGTTGCATTTCAGACTAGAGAGCTCCTTAAACTGTGCCAGCTGGCTCACCAAAATGCTTCCTTAAAGGATCATGGGACTTAGTAACTGAGGTTAGCATTAGGGTAACTATACTTATAACTACTTATAACCCCAATTAAGGTACTTATAACCATACTTACTAAGTCCCATGAACCTCCAAGTAGGCACAGCTTCATAGCAAGCAGAGCACGCAGGTCCGTTCTACATTATCCAAGTTGCTCACAGTCTCTGTGTTTCTCGGCGTTGCTGGCATCTCCCTCTGGCAAGTCAGCCTCGGCATAGGCGCGCAACGGCTTTTTTGTGTGCTCTGCCCCCCTTCAAAAGAGGCAAGCGATCTCAGACTCACGAATCTTGAATCCCTCGACTCTCTATGCGCACGCGGATGGGAAACGGCCTTCCCAAAAAGACTGCAACCGACCCCAAGCGCTAAGCCATCTTAGGCCCCCTAAACCCTAAACCCTAAACCCTTAGCCCTAAACCCTAAACCCGAAACCCGAAACCCCGAAACCCCGAAACCCCGAAACCCCGAAACCCTAAACCCTGAGCAGGAACTGATTTCAAGCTCATTGACCTGACACCGGACGGCAGCTACTTGAGCGATTACTACACGCAGGAGCGTCCCATGGTGTAGTATAGTAGAGTAGAGTAGATGGGTGCTGCCGAATGGCTGCTGTGTCTGTGACAGCAGAGGCCCGAAGCTTGTACTCTAAATCGACCCTCAAACTTTATTCAGTCTGGATGCTGAATATATATATATATATATATATATATATATATATGCTACCCCCCCCCCGGTTATCCACCGTTTCGTGGCTTTCCAGAGCGTGTGCCAGAGGATTTCAGAGGATTCGCATTG